ATTTATAATATTAGTCTCTGTCACTTGAAACTCCTATATTACACATATACATTGATGACATTAAGAGTACTGTAAAATACTTTGAAAAACTCTTGAAGTTTCTCCATCTGTTCTGGAGTGCAGTGTGGTGGGTTACAGTCTAACTGGAGATTATTCTTTAGCTGCCATGTATCATATTGTGAATTAAATGAGAAGATGGGAGTTTTTATAAAAGGGTAAAGATACTGACGGAGAAAAAAAAGTCATATCAATAGCTTCAATAATAATATTGACATACTTCTGGTCCCAAACATTTGTAAGTGTCATTTCCAGTATAAACTTTAGCACAAGAATCAGTCAAACTAATCGACATATTCTGCATTTTGTACACTGCAAAGAACAAGCATGTGACAGTTATGATTACACCTCCAAGCATTCATTTTTACACAAAGCACAGTTATTTAAGCTTACATTTCTGTCCTCTCTCCTTTGCAACAGGCTCCCCATTGACATTAGGTACCTCAATAAAGTACCTAGATTTAGCATTAAAGAGGTCATTAATTGATATCATAGGGTCTTACCCAGCATCTGAAATTGCACGATATTTAGCAGAAGGAGGCAAAACACTTCCAACATAATCAGCATGAATGTATGTAGCTAATCCTCCAGCTAATTCATGTGAAAAATTTTAAAGTAATCGTACATAGTAATGATAGTATAGGCAAAAAAATACCTGAACAGCCAGTTAGAATCACATCTGTTGCCTCTTGCATGATTTTATCTTTAAGGAGATAACCGAAGATTGCCTGTATGATCTTGTTTCCTCTGAAATATATTGGAGTTCCATCTACGTATATTGGTTTAGACCTTTTGCAGTAAATTGAAAGTTGATATTAAAACAATAATCTATAAAACTTACACATATCCAGAGTATACTCCCCCATCACAATACTTGACAAAAACAACATGCCAGTTGTAGAAATTTTTATTATACAATTCATCATCTGATAAGAATCCTCCAAAAGTTGCTGTCTTTGCCCATTTTTTTGAGGACCCCAAGTCACTCTTGCTTCTCTTAAGACAGTCCTCCTCATCTTCACAAACTCCTCCTCCTTCTAAATGTATTATCACTTTAGTAAACCCATTACCTGATCCTGCATGTTATACAGAAGAAAGATGATAGATGCTGCAAAGTGTTATCCTACCTTCTCTGTGGTAGAAACCAGGAGGTGACCCATCCAGGCAGACTGCTTCTCCGGGATCATCAAGGAGGATGAGATGAGCCTCTTTTGAGGCTGTGAAGGTGAAGAGAGTCAGTAGAAAGACTGCTGAAGAGAAATACTTAGCCATCATTGACCTTACAGCTAGAGCGTGGGCGTTGGGTCACATTTCAATCACATGCGTGGGATGCAACAATCAATAACTAGCCACGCCCACAGGAGGAGTTTAGATTTTAAAAGAAGGTGTGCCCACGTGTTTACTTTTAAAGTTTTGATTTTTTGGCGGCAACAAGGGCTTTACTTTAGTTTTCAGACTACATTTTGAATCCTCTACTCATCATATCATCATAATTTTATCTCCCTCTCTCTTCATTTCCTCCAGTTGTAATTCAAGACTTCCCTTTTCACTTTATTCGTCAAATCATCTTTTTCATATCATCTCATCTCTTTTATTGAATCCATTATGTCTACAGATCACGCCAATGTCAGTAGAGATGAGACAGAACTGCCAAACTTCCAGCAACGATTTGAGAGACTCAAACCATCACGGTATGGAAACAACGCTACAAATAAAATAAAATAAATACATGTACATGTACGTTTGCCCCTCCCTCTTTTAGAGAGTTGTTACAGTTCTACAGAGACAAGTTTACAGAATATGACTCGGAGTATCAAGAATTATGTAAGAAGATTGAGACGTACGAGTCGATTCAAATAGAAATGGTACCTAACGATATTTCATCATGTGCATGTGCATGTGCATTATGTCTTAGCAAAAGGCCCGTCTCGAAAATCAGCAAAGAGAAGACGAAATTAAACAATTGCAACAAGCTCTAAGTGACATGCAAGTGAGTCCTTTATCCTCTCACTTCTCTAAATCTCTCTCTCTCTTTCATGTTCCTCTTCTCTTTCTCTCTCTTTCATATTCCTCTTCTCTCTCTCTCTCTCTTTCATATTCCTCTTCTCTCTCTCTTTCATATTCCTCTTCTCTCTCTCTCTTTCATATTCCTCTTCTCTCTCTCTCTTTCATATTCCTCTTCTCTCTCTCTTTCATATTCCTCTTCTCTCTCTCTTTCATATTCCTCTTCTCTTTCTCTCTTTCATATTCCTCTTCTCTCTCTCTTTCATATTCCTCTTCTCTCTCTCTCTCTCTCTTTTATATTCCTCTTCTCTTTCTCTCTCTTTCTTTCCAGGTGTACTTGTTTCAAGAGAGAGAGCATGTTTTGAGACTTTACGCCGAGAACGACAGACTCAAAATAAAAGATCTTGAGAGTCGTAAGAAAATACAGCACCTCCTGACAGTACAGGGCATCACTAGAAAGGGAGGGGGAGGAGGAAGGGGAGGAGAGTCGACTTATACATTTAAAGAACCACCAGCAAAGTGAGTCTGGATTTACATTAAGATTCTATTACAGGATCTTTAAAAAATTCTAAAAAAATTAAATTTAATCGGATTTAGCTCAAACTTGATACGCAACATAAGTACATGTATATGCATCAGAAAAAATTATAAAAATGGAGAATTCTCACCTTGCCATTTTTGATGAAATTTGGCTGATGACCAAAGGCTATAGCCTTTGGTCTTTGGCTCAATTTTGGAGCAACTTCAAAAATTCATAAAAAATCTAATATTAATCGGAATTGGCTCAAACTTTCTACACAACATAAGAACATCTATATACATCAGAAAAGATTATAAAAAGTGAAAATTCTCACCTTTTCAATTTTGGCAAAATTTGGCCCAAGACCATGTACTACAACAGGGACTTTTGCCTTATTTTGGAGCAACTTAAAAAATCCAATTTTTATCGGAATGCACAACTTACATGTAGGAACATGTCAGAAAATAGCTCCATTATTTATTTCTTCATTCTCTCTCTCTCTCTCTCACTATTTCTCAGAGTACTAGTATCACAGCACATTCCCAGTGATACTAAAGGCAGAGGACCTGGAGGACACAAGACACTTGAATCAACCTCACCTCCTGCTGCATCGGCTGCCAGTGGGGGAGAAGGTAAAGCAAGAATAAAAGTATTAATTAAAGATGCTCTCATTTATTAATAATGCAGGTGACACTGATAAGGAGTCATTATTATTAACCATTGAATCACTTAATGCACAACTTGAGGAGCATGCCAAGCTCTGCAAAGAACAAGTATGAAAAATTGGATATCTATGTATTGTTAATTACATCTACATGTATTATACTTGTATATTTGGCTTAATATTGACGCACATGTACACACATGTACATGCATTAAATATTCATACATGTATATAGTCCACAGTGTCAAATATTGTATTGCTCCTTCAATTGCAATTACAGGCAGCTCTGCTTCTTCTTTCACATATTTGTACATGTACAATCAAAATCTCTTTACTCTATTACCTTATTTATATTTAAACAGGTTGATGCACTCCTGGAGGACAGACAGATAAAGATGGAAGAGAGTGATGGGAGGAATGAAAGAGACAGCATTAAGATACAAACACTCTCTGATCAGTATCACAAGAGTCAGTGTCTCCTTTATGAGAGCACCAAAGATTTTCTTCAAGTGAAATACGAGTTGAGAGCAAAGGAGAGAGAATGGATAGCAGAGAAAGACAAGCTCTTGCAAGAAATGGATAAACTGAGAGAACAAATATCAGTAGCTTCAGGTAATGGAGTGAGAGAGAGAGAGAGGAAAAGTTGATGCAGTGAGTAGTGTGTTTCTTTAACTTAAGGATCTGTGATTAGAATCAGCTCAAACTTCTATTTATAGGCAAAGACTCTTTATTGGATTTCAGTTGTCTGGAGAACTTCTCTCCTCAAGATGGAAGGAAAGGGCCAGACACAGCTCAGCTACAACTCCAGTTACAACAGACTCAGCAACTAGCTGATTGGTACAGGGAACAAAGTATTAAATGTGAAGATGAGCTGGGAAGAGTTAAAGAGGAAAGTAAGTAGTAGGAAAGTTGTACATATATATGTACAGTTTGATAAAATTAGCAAACTAGACTACTTGAAAATTCAATTGCATGTAACTAAAACAATTTGTGCTCAGAATCACCTCAAACTTTCTACATAGCATAAGGTCTAAATGAATTTTGGTCAAATTGGCTCAAATTTTCTACAGTTTAACACTCAAACTTAAATTGCTGGTTTTTTGTACCTGTAGATGAGGCAGCAAAGTCATTATTCAAAGAGAGAACAGCTAAACTTAATCAAAGACTAGAGCTAATGAACAAGCGATATCAAGCATTAGAGAAAAGACGCTCTCTTGAAGTTGAAGGATACAAGAATGACATTAAAATACTCCGCCAGAAACTAAAAGACCTCGAAAAGAAGTTATACAGAGTAAGAGCTAGCTAGAGACTGTAGAATGTCAACTAAAGATTGTGAGAGGTGGTTGGAAAGAAACTTAACTTTTTTCTTTTTCTAAGGTTACTACAACGATTGCAAGCAGTTCAGCGAATGGGACAGATATTGATGTTTTAGCTCAAGTTAAAGAAACTGCTCTCAACTCTAACAGAATAATGGGAGACCTGAGACAACTAAAGGGGAAAATTTACACTATAGAGAAGGATTTTAGAAACATGCATAGTTGTTGAAATATTTATAAGACATATTAAATTTAGTTCATATATTCGATATTCATTGTTCAGAAGGGAGTGGTTGGTATTTAGAACGCGAAGATGGTGTACAGAACATATATTCGATATTCATTGTTCATCAGAAGGGAGTAGATCTAGTTGGTATTTAGAACGCGAAGATGGTGTGCAGAACATAATATTCGATATTCATTGTTCATCAGAAGGGAGTGGTTGGTTTAGAACGCGAAGATGGTGTACAGAACTTTAAGGACTGATACTGTTCCGTTGCTTGTAGCTCTTATTTGTGGAGGACTTGGTGTATTGATGGTCCTGTATTGTCTGTTCTGTAGGGAAAAAAATAAAAGCCCATTTGACCCGCTGCCTCTCAGCATCAGTGCTGTTTATAAGGGTGATGAGAAGAAGAAAGAATCAAAGAAAGATGCACTAGTGCCGGCTTCTTATTTCAAAAGTTATGACTCGAGTAGAAAGGAGGCTGTTCCATTTGACTCGATACAGGATCTCACATCAGGTAGAACTAGTTCTGGTAGCAAAATTTTTAAAAATTATTATTGTATGCATGTAAATGATAGCTCATGGGAGATAACTTTTGACAAAGAGCCGTTTGCTGAAGGAAGATTCAGATATGCTTTTAAAGCACAGTATACCAAGCATGCTACTAAATGTGGACAAAGTTGTGTTGTAAAGAAATTCAAAGATAGCTACATTTGGGAGCGAAAAGGTTGGGACTCCACCTTGAAGATTTACTCTAAAGCTCAAAAATATGCCTCAGAATTTGGAAGAGGAATTGAATTCACTGAATGTGGAACTGGTATAGTTACAGCAGCTGATGATTGTCCTAAAGTTGAAGTTGATGAGTACACAGTAAATGAAGATTTTCTCGAAGGTGAATTCATCAAATGGTGTAACAATTATGGCTACGTGTCAACAAAAGCTAGAGGAGTAGACTCCATATTGACAGCATTCATGCACTGGAGCTGGGTGAAAAGCAAAGGAGAAGAAATGGTTGCTGATATACAAGGAGTGAAGAATGGAAACCGTTATAGATTAACAGATCCTGCTATGATCTCTGTTAAAAGGAAATATGGAGCAACTGATACTGGGATTGAAGGAATGGCAATGTTTTTCCTCATTCATCAATGCTCTGGCCCTTGTAACGGTTTGCCTAAGCCAACAATGGGCCATTTTGTTGGTAAGATACCTGATTCAGTGCTGCAGCAAGCTCTTGCCTTCCAGCAGCTATCAGCCAGGGGGACAACTTACTCACATGAAACTAAATTTCCTGATTCTATTAGGAATGTGATAATTCCTATTTTCTTAGCTATTGCTCGAAGAAAATAGAAAATACTGTATGAAGACCATAGTAGACTAGTGATAAGTTTTGGCTTTTTTATAACTTATATTCAAACTCAACTATTTATTCTTATAGTAAAAATGACACTGTAGTCATTATCATTGCTTTTCTTTGATCTGTTTAATGATTGCTTTACAGAAATCAGGTAGATCTGTTGGGATTCTTGATGTTACCTATAATAAAAATAATACTTTTCAGAGTCAATATACATAAGATACACTCACTAAATTCCCATCAACCACCACAGAAGCATCTTCATAAGTTGCACTGAGAAAAAATAAAAAGAAAAAAAAGAATTTTTATTTTTAAATTGTCTCTTTGTAAAAGCCAGAAACAAAATTATTACAATAAGTATTGATTCTAATGTGCACGAATTGTTTGAAATATTAATACCCTGCATTGATGACATCATCTTTTATTGAATGAAAGCAAGTTACTCTTTTGCCATTGAGCACTTTAGCAGAACAGAGCAACCATGGGCCATGGCATATTGAAGCTACAGTTTTACCTAAATTAATAAATAGCCATAATTTATCCTAGTATGATTGTTTAAAATTACCAGAGTCAAACATAGTTTTGACAAGATCAAGAAAGCGCTGGTCTCTTCTCCAATAATCTGGAGCAAAGCCACCAGGTATTATTAATGCTGACAAATCCTATCGAATCGAAATCAAATAAATTTAATATAAAGTACCCCAAAATTTGTAAAATTTGGATCTATATTAAAGCACTTAAAAGTTTGCTGGTTTTTATGATAAATAGTACAATTAATTTGCCTTGCCTCAGCTTTAACATCATCGATTGATTTGTCAGCTTTGCAAGGATATCCTTTCTTTGACTGATAGACTTTCCCTGCCTCTGGCCCAATAGAGAATGTATGGAAACCTTCCTCCCTGAACCTCAGCAATGGATACCAGACCTGAAGTTAAGAGGAGAGGAAAGCAACGGGTTGCATAGGCTACCTCTAAATCTTCATAGTTAAACTCAACAAGAATACCAATTTGAGGAACTGCAGCCATTTTGATTGGGATAATTATTAAAATGAAAAAAATTGATGAAAATTATGAAAATTATGAATATCATTCTACACTTTAATTTAAAACAAATGAAATGTGTTCCTTTCAAAATAACTTTCCTTGAAATTTCCCTCTCTCTTCTCTCTCCTTTATTCTCATTCTCTCAGTCAGTGTCCTCAATTCTTTATCTATTGTCTTCTTCAGTGAAGGATCCAATTCCAGTGCTCTCTTAAAGTCTCTCTCAGCTTCTTCTTGGCACCAATCAGCAGCATATGCTTTCCCCCTCCTAAAAAGCCCCTTCACATTATTAGGCTCCAATTCAAGCACTTTACTAGTATGCCTTATAACTTCAAGATAATTCTCCATTAAAAGCAGGCACTGTGAGTAGTTTAGCAACAAGGGGACTTTGATATCTTCTATCCTCTTCCATTCATTGCCCAGTGGTTTCTCTTGGATGCTCACTGACTCGATATATTCTAATGCTCTAAAATACTTCCCAGCAGCTCCCTGATAGTCTCCAGCCTTGTATAGAGCATTGCCTTCTTCTTTGAGGATTGGGACTAGCTCCTCTTTCTCCTCTGACTTCATGGCCCACACGTCTGGCTCATACTGACCCGGAGCCTCCACTTTTAGTAGCTCTATCTCAAAAGCTAGAGGTAATTTCAGTTGTGTTAGCATGTCGAGGTCTTTGTGGCCGCTACCGTGCGTCATTGCTCCAAAGCCACATCTGTGGGCATGATCACGGTGGGCGTCATTATAGTAACCAGTTGGATCCAGTTTCTGTTTCGCTACTTTTCGTAAAGTTTGAGCAATGATAGGGTAGTCTACCACTAACTGAAGAAAAAAAGAAACGATTATTTATTAATAGGACCTAAAATAAAGTTGTTTAACCTGAGCTCAGAATCAGCTTAAACTTAAGAATAAGAAGAATTCTCTGATAGTCATTTAAGACAAAATGCCCTGTGCTATATATAGTACAGGAACTTTAACCCAATTTTTGTGCAACTTTAAAAATTTGTTAAAAATCCAACTTTAATTAGAATCAGCTGAAACTTTCTACACAAGATAAGTGCATGTATATGCATCAGAAAAAGTTATAAAAATTGAGAATTCCCTCATTTTCAATTTTGGCAAAATTTGACCAAAATCCCTGTACTATAGTACAGGGACTTTGGCCCGATTTTGGAGCAACTTTAAAAAATTCATAAAAAATCCAAACTTGATTGGAATCAGTTCAAACTTTCTACATAACATAAGTACATGTATATGCATCAGAAAAAATTATAAAAATTGAGAACTCTCTCATTTTCATTTTTGATGAAATTTGGCTCGAGACCATGTACTATATAGTACAGGGACTTGGCCCGATTTTGGAGCAACTTAAAAAATTCGTAAAAAATCCAATTTTGATCAAAATCAGCTCAAACTTTCTAAAAAAAAATAAGAATATTGTGAAACACAATAGCGAAACACTACATGAAGTGAAACACTACATGCAGCGAAGCACTACATGCACCCATTCAACATTACCTTATATGGGCATGTGAACCGAGCTACTTCTCCTACCAACATTTCCTTGACCAGATCTTCCCATACGTCCATTTTAAATTTTCGTCCGACGAGGAGTTCAAAAGGGCCACATCCCAACGTCCTAGTGTCATCAATCACGTGATCCTTTATCTCGTCCTCTCCAGCTGGAAGGCTTCCATCAGGATTAAGTTTGATTGATCTAAAATGAAACACAGCCTACACCACATAAACTAGGTTAGGAGGAATTCTTTAGGCCGTACCTTTGAGTTCTTTAGAAATTGTGGGGGAGGACCTTTTCCTCCATAAATGAGGTCTTTTCTTACGCCAGGGACTTGAGTCCTCACTGACATTTTTTTATGATTTTTATTTTTTAGGTTTGAAAGGCGTGGTCTATTGCTAAGACCGCCCACCCACGTGCTTTCTGACAGCTGATTGTTCAATCATGAATGACACTAATATTCCAGTTGCTGTGGCTCTTATTTGTGGAGGAGTTGGAGTATTTGTGCTCCTATATTGTCTGTTCTGTAAAAAAAATGGTGGGAAGCAACCAGCAAAAACAAGGTAGACATAAATCACTGTCATTTTTGTATCTGCCACTCCCCTTTTTTTGTTTTTCTTTTCTTTCCTTTCCAAAGGAAGAAGTCAAGAACCAAAAGCTCATCGGATCCTCCTCCTTCTCCTTCGAAACAAAACGAAAAGAAAGGAAAAGGGAGCTTTAAGTTTCCAATCAAGAAAGGTGGGCTGATGCCACACCCTCTCTCAGCTGCTGATTTTAAAGGCCATACTGACACTATTAATGACATTGCGTTTGAATTGGGTGGGAAATACCTTGTATCTTGTTCCCAAGGTACACGCACGAATAAATAATAGGTCAATATTTTGAAATTTTGTATATTTATAGACAGGACGGTGAGATTGTGGCCCATGAAGACTGTCAGTGAGAAGGAACACAAGTATGGAGTTTTATGATCCTTTGAATTATATATGTCACCTTTCCACCTCTACACAAATGTATTTTTCCCCTTTCTCTTTCTTTGTTCCTCCTCTCTCCCCCTTCTCTCTCTCTCTCTCTCTCCTCTCTCTCTCTCTCTCCTCTCTCGCTTTCTCTTTGTCCTTTCTTTCAGACACACTCGTCTCAATATAGAAGACAGTGACATTGGCACTAATGTTGCTTTCAGTCCTGACGGGACGTAAGGGAGATCACTCATTAATTAACTAATTAACCTTTCTTTATTTGCTGTTGTTGTCTGCAGTGCTGTCCTGATGACAACTGCACACAGTAATGATGTTATTGTTTACAAGATAATGAAATCAAAGGGGAATCTCTCGCTGACCAATGCTCTTAGTTTCCCTTTGGTATTTATTTACTATCATAATGTCCTATTCTTTTGTACTATGCACTCTTGTTATGTCCATAGTTCTGCCTATGGTGGTTGGGGGTGGTCAGGACAACCACCTCAACAAATGAACCAACCAGTTCATCACTTAGACCAACCATCCAATTAATACTAATAGCCATACATAAAGCATGATATTGTAGTCTACTAGTATGGCATACATAAATTTAAAAGGAACAATATTAGTCTCCAACCACCTCTAATTTTTTCTAGGCAGAACCCTATATATGTAACCCTATAGTATTGTTTTATGTACATTGTAGACTGATGAGACAAAGGATGAAAGTGTATTGAGTCTCGAGATAGCTCCTTCTGGTAAATTTATCATGTCTTGCTCTGAGACATCATTCACATTGTGGACCGTTAAAGGCAAGCAAAAGAAAAGAAGAGAGAGAGGAATTAACTTTATTAATAATCATTATTATTATTTTAGGTGTTAAGTTATGCACAGTAGAGACTAAGCAGTCACCAAACAACATGGCAACCATTTCCCATTGTAGTAAATTCATTGCCTGTTGTGGTAAGGCATGATAATTGACACATGTCAAGATTTACTTTCTTTTCTTTTGATCTGCCCTAATCCTTTTCTCCTCTTTCTCTTTCTATAAGGTTTTACAACTGATGTTAAAATCTGGGAAGTTGTGTATTCGAAGTCTGATGAATTTCAAAGTGTAAATTGACACACTAGTATAGGTACATCGTTTTAATAGCATTTGATTCTGTAGGTGAACCGTGCAATGGATTTAAAGGGACACTTGGCTGGTGTGGTGTCTGTATCTTTCTCTCAAGATTCTAAAAAGTAAAATTATTTATTATTTTTAATCTTTTAAAAATACTTTCATTATAGGGCTTTGACTCTGTCGAAAGATATTACTTTCAAGTTATGGAATATAGATGGTAATACCACAATATTTTATAAAAATATAAAAATAATTTTTTAGTTCATAATTTAGCCTTTATTAATATTTCCCTTTCCCTCTCTCTCTTTTCTAGTAAGCTATTCATTAAACGAGGACCCTAGAGTATTGCTTGATATTAGTTTATCTGTATCAATCCCTATTGATATCAACAGTAAAGACATCAGTACGATTGCCCTCTCTCCTGATTCACTGGTAATTGCTGTCGCCATTGGTCATTCCATATATGTCTTTGATTCTATCATTGGGTCACTCCTGGAGTCATTTGTCGATGTTCATAATGGTAATAAATAATATTATTTTAAATTCAGAGGCCAATTTTTAATATGCTTTTATGATAGAGTATAATGGGAACTGAAATATCCCACACACATTCTATGTGTAATTGTTTTACTCAAACCTTTGTCACTCCCTAAATGTGTTTTAAACTATTGTACAATTTACTATTTTTGGTTACACTCTCACTCTCTCTCTGCATTCTTTCTCCAGCTGTTATCACTCGCCTCTTGTTTGACCCCAGTGGACAATATATAGTATCATCTGGTGGCAGTGACAAGTTTATTAGATTATGGCACAACACTCCTGGAATGAAGGAACAATTGAGAGATCTCAAGCTACAAATTTCTTCGACTGGCTCTGAAGCAATGAAGGTCAGTAGTTAGCAGTGCTTCATAAATTTGTACATATTATGGAGAGTTCACTCTCTCTCCTCCTTTCTCTCTCTAATTAATTTTATTTATACAGCATCAACTTTTGTATGCTGTAATTAGTATTGTTACAGTTAAAGCTCAGTTCCTGACATGGTTTATAGTTGTCCATAGTTCTGCCTATGGTGGTCGGGGGTGGTCGGGACAACCACCTCAACAAATGAACCAACCAGTTCATCACTTAGACCAACCATCCAATTAATACTAATAACCATACATAAAGCATGATATTGGAGTCTATACTAGTATGGCGTACATAAATTTAAAAGGAACAATATTAGTCTCCAACCACCTCTAACTTTTTTCTAGGCAGAACCCTGTTTGCCATAGTGTTGCACCAAGAATTCTTGGTTACACAGTTTGTGGTAGTTGATGAGATGCTGTTACACAGTATCTCATAGAATCTCTGTAACTATAATAGCACCTAAATTAATACTGTAGGGATTGTTTATTATTCATGAGTACAGCTGGTAGTATTATTGGTTTGTTTGTCAGTATTAGTGCCTATGGGGTCTATGAGTTTACTCTGGTGATCTCACTGTCTAATATTTCAATAATAAAATGCCTAGACTTGCTGTCTACCTGTAAACTAATTTGACTTGCCTTAAATGAATGGAACAATTAGACCAAATTTATCTCAGTGGTTTTGTATGCGTGAATGAATGTACATGTCATATATACTATATCCCAGTTGAGTTTGGGACAATAAAAACTGGATTAACTTTTATCGGAATGTGGGATAAGGATGAAGCTTTCACAGGTTTTTTGTTACCAAAGTCCATCAAAATCTGTGAAATATTGGGTCTCTCAGTTCTTATTTCATTTCTTATAGTAAAGAAATGAATGCTCATGCAGCAGCTGCTTTCAGTTCAGATTGAATGATAGTACTTAAGTATCAAACCTAGTACATACATATATAATACTTTTAAATCATGTGTGTGTAGTTGAGATTTTTCAATATAATTGTTATTATTTTTTTCTTTTACAGGTTCGTTTAAGATCTCAGATGGATGAAATAGAGTATGTTCTTATGTCATTTAAGTGCCTTTATAGTATTCTCTTCTCTTCAATAGGAAGAAATTGAAAGATCTCCCTTCGTCTTAAATAGGCTCTATTTTTAGTAGCAGGCGAATAATGATGAAGTGGATATTCTATAAATAGAATCTATTTTTAGTAACACAAATAATGACTATTAAAAATGACAAATTCATAATGGAGGCCGCGCCTACAGACACGTTGATTCTTTATCATCAAATCTCAGAAGAAGAGAAGGTAGAGAGAGATAGAGTCATGGCGGAGTGTGTCCCAACTCCAGACTCACCAGAGCCTCCATCAGATGAGGAGTATCTCCCCGTGGGGAGTGGAGAAGAAGAGGGAGAGAGTGGAGGTAGTGGTGTGCTCAAGGCTCAGACAAAGGAGCACAGTCGGTACATAAAGCTAAATGTCGGTGGTGCACTCTTCACTACGACCCTGGGGACACTTCTCAAGGAAGATAACATGCTTAGGGCAATGTTTAGTGGTAGAATGGAGCTCCAGACTGACGAAGATGGTAATTAATGTAGTGTGGAATGGGGTCTTACTAGTTTATGGTGGAAGTTTTTTGGGGGTGTGATTTATACGTTATTTCTGGGATGTTTTATTTTATTGTTAAGCACAAAAAAGACGGTCTTAAGAAAGTGCCTGCTTTATACATTGTCTGTCGTTTTATAAAAATTAGAGAGAAAATGTGAATACAATAATTTATAACACCATAAAATTTACGAACCTATATAGTACAATTAGAGGTCAGGGGCCCATCGATATAATATTAAACACTTAGTTTCGAAAAAATTAATATTTAGTAATTAATAATAATTATTATTATCATTTTTATTATCAAAGGTTTTGTTTTTGTATGTCCTGCTACATTATAAATATGTTCACGGGTTGTTGTATAGATTGGTGTAAATATACAATTCTGGTAATTCTCATTCGTTGCCTAGCAATAATTTGTTGAATTTCCCACCCTAGCACTGACATTTGGCTTTCCGCCAAATTTTCTCCTTGCCAACAACACAGAGAAAAATAGTAATTTCATTTTTAGCAACTTTTGAATTCTATGCACTGTGTATGTATGGATATACACTTGTTTGCTGTTACGTTAACTTGTTTTGTGTATTTTTATTTTAAATTGTTTACTTGCTAGTTTCAATAAAGTATATCCACCCACTCACTAGTAATGATAGCATTGTAATTGTTTTCTTTATTCATAAGATTGTTTATAATAAGTTCATGTCAATAGTGTAAAGTTAGGCGTTTTGGCATCTCAATAAATGCAGTTGGAATTGCCTCAAACTTTTATAAGCCATAAGGACTATTGCTATCAATGATTGTATAGAAAAGTATTTTTTTTAATTATAGCTACTATAAGCTGTATCTCCTTTAATATATTTGTAGTGAAATTCCCCAGTGGCACTATTTGCTCTGTGTGTGTGTGTGTGTGTGTGTATGTAGTGCTGTGCTACTCTATAAAAACTTTTGTATCACTGTCTTTATTTATTATAGGATGGGTACTGATTGATAGAAGTGGGAAACACTTTGGATTAATATTGAATTTCCTAAGAGACGGCTCAGTCGCCCTCCCCGAATCAAAGAAAGAATGTACCGAGCTCCTAGCTGAAGCAAAGTGAGAGAGGGGGGGAGAGAGGGAGGGAGGAGATAGAATATAAAGATATATTATTATTGCTGCATCACTAGAATAAGAGCAATGCGAATGTAGTATACATAATGGAATCATTGGAACGACCCAATTACATTGTACATGATTCTCAACATATGAAGGACATTGTGACAGCAGTGATCCTACACATACATGTACATGTACATGTACATGTACATGTACATGTACATTGATAGTAGGAGGATAGGAATGACATGTACATGTATTTGCTGTGAACAGCAATAGCCCATCATGTATCATGTTGCTGGCCATTGGTTTATTGTAGTAACAAATGTATTGTAGTAGAATTTATGCTAGAAAAATAGCCTGCATCATTATCATTTTATTATGCAATAATGACATTATTTTTATAATGTTCTAGATTTTATCTTATCGATGATTTATCGGATGCTGTTGAGCTCCAACTGGCCAAATTGAAAGATGAGTATGAGCCAGGCTGTAGAGTGCCGGTCATAACTTCTCCAGAAGAAGAACACCTCATTGTATCGTCATCAAGCAAAGTAAGGAAGAAGAGAAATAATATTTAGTGACCTTGAATGTCACACCAATAAAGAGGGACTACCCTTCAATATCAGATGACATTTTATGTAGCCTGAACTCTAAACCTAGCACTAAACTTAGTAGCAAATTAAGCTGCCTCAGGGGATGCTGTATTTTGATTTTAAAGCTGTAATTTAAAAGCAAAATAAACTGTGCTTAATATCAACAGAGAAGGTGTGCTATAAACTACTACTAATGATATGGTTACAGTTTAGCCCAGTTGTGTGAACATCCACTTAGGATGCACGAAAAGGATATTATTATATTTAATGCAATTCTCGGTATTTGCCTGTAAAACTAACAGTTACCCACTGATTGACAAGTGTAACGTAAACATGTCAGGCACTCAATGCGTTATGTGTACACTCTGCCTTTGCTATTATGTATTGCTGGCTGGCTAGTGTCTTTGGCAAGGAAGCGTTTGGTTCATTTCTGATTTGACTTTGTTTGCATTTATTTTTGTAGCCGGTGGTCAAATTACTGTATAATCGTGGCAGCAACAAATACTCATATACGCCGTAAGTTATTTGTGATCTTTGATTTTCTATTCTATTCTCTCTCTCTCTCTCTCTCTCTCTCTCTCTCTCTCTCTCTCTCTCTCTCTCTCTCTTTACAGTAATTCGGATGACAATCTTCTCAAGAACATAGAACTATTTGACAAACTCTCCGTTCGTTTCTCCTCTAGAATAAAATTTATAAAAGACATAGTGGGTCGCGGCGAGATATGCTGCTGGGCATTTTATGGAAATGCCCGCAAAGTAGCCGAGGTCTGCTGTGAGTCCATAGTCTATGCCACTGATCGCAAGCACACTAAGATAGAATTCCCAGAGGCTAAGATCCTTGAAGAGACTCTCAATATAATGCTGTATGAAGGAATTCGAGGTGAAGACACTGGTATAGCTCGCACTGCTCATATTGAGCCTACGTCTCGGACGCGGCGAAATAGAACCCCAGAGGGTTTTCTATCCGAAGATCAACCAGCTCAGTCGCAACAGTTCCCATCCTAAGACCGGAACCTTTTGTTTTTATATCATTCATTTGTATTAATATTGTGTGTGATTGATTTTTCTATTATTTCTTCCCCTCCACTGCCTTGGCTTTCCAAGCAAGAATCACTACTATACCATCTCTTTGTTAAATTACATTATTATTTCAATTTTTTCTTCCCAAACTTTGCCTATTTATGCGTTGCCCTATACAGGCGTGGCTATATTAATTGAAGCTTATAAATATCAGCTCACTTCGCATTCCGTTTGTTCTCGCAACTGTGACTTGACCGAGGTGTAGTCGTAGGCTTGAGCTGACCTGCTAGACAAGTGTTTCTGTTTGGCAGATAGTAAGGATCTTCACAGAGCAGCAGCAGTAATGTCGGTAAGTGAGTAGAGCCTGCTTTGTAGCTTTTTGGAAAGACCTGATCAGCAAACAAAGCCCTAGTTTCCTTCAGTAGTGCATGCAGTAGACTACAGTGCAGTCTAGGAAAAGCCAAATACCTCTTTGAAACATTACAGTCTGTATACAGATACTCGATATGATTGGGAAAATATAGAGGCTAATTGAATTATTACTATGAGCCTGTGTTTTAATGCTACTGGTGTTATTATTATTATTATTATTATTATTATCTATTCTGCATTCTGCCCTTTGTTAGTGTGTACTTGTGCTAATTGTTTTGTAGTTAACATCAGCTCAAGTAGCTCTCATTGAGTCAACATGGAAGGTGGTCAAAAAGGATTTGCAAGGAGCAGGAAACATCATGTTCTTAAAGTCAGTATACTGTGATCCGGTCACTAAATTGCATTATGTCATGATTTGTTTGAGAACAAGCTATACATGCTAGACAAATCAAGCAGCTTCCTTTCTGTAGCCTCACTAGCTTGCATGCAATAGACCTTGTGCTTAATACTGACCTGATTTACACTGACACTACTTAGAGACACATGTAATTGGATTATACTAAGAGTGGTTTAATCCCCATCCTATAGTATGGCCATGCTAACTAGGGCAGTAGTAAATAAGTATAGAGTATGCATATTGAGTTTTAGCACTTTTAATGTAAATTGGACGCAGATTTACTGTTGTTATAAAGCTTGCTTAGCACAGGATGTTATCTTAGGTTGACACTCTTGTACTGTTTCAGTGATTTAACATTGAGTAACATGTATGGTTTCTGATGGAGTTTGTACTCTCAAATTATAATTAGACTTTATTACTCGCCTTCTCTTCCCTCCCTCTCCTTTCTCTCTCATTTCTCTCCTACTTTTTCACTCTTTCTTCCCCTTTCTCTCAATCCCATTTATATTATAACCAATTAATGCTCATGCAATCACAATCATGTATAACATTAGGTTATATTTCTCGTGAACATCCCATACTGTCATTCGTGCACATTCACAAATGTATTCTCTTGCTTATATTTTTGTTTTTCTGTCCATTATACAAGTTTGTCATTCCTGTATTGTTGTTTTTCTTTCGATTTCTCATTATCTCTTCTTCCTTCACTCCTTTCTGCTCGTACACACACACACACACACTATTACACCATCCTGCAGGCTTTTCCAGATTGATGTTTCGGTGAGAGACAAGTTCCCATTCAGAGACGTTCCATATGAAGAGCTCGAAGACTCGGAGTCATTCCTCAAGCATTCCCTCCAGGTCATGGAGACCATTGATCTTGCAATAACTCTCCTCTTAGGAGGAGAAATGGAGAAACTTGTAGAAGCACTTGTAGACCTGGGAATGGCTCATGCTATGCAGGGCCTAAAGCCTGAGGACTTTGATGTAAGATATATAATAAGAAAAATGAAATACCCCCCAGCTTGCCTGATATAGTTATATAATACTTGTATCGTAGAGTGTATTATCGATATTCATGATAATCTGAGATTATTCATGTGAGATATTCCACTGCCTCCAGCACAGCAGTTCACATAAATACTGTTGTGAGGCATAGTCCAGTGTTTGTGTGTGTGTGGGGTTTAGGTACAATTAAACGTGAGCTATGATTTAGCTTAAGAGGGAGAGAGAGAGAGAGAGGTCTGCACTGTTTACCCAACTATTTGCATGCAGGAAATTGATAGTGCTCTTATCCAAACAAGCTTTACTCCTCTGGACTCTCAATTAAAGAGTTGCTATGCAGCCTAGTGCATGTGCTCTATAGCATCAGTGTGAAAGAGGAAGGTGAGAGATGTAGTAGAAGCCTTGGTAGAGGGAGAGGGGATGCCCACTACCAAAATGACATATACATCATGGGACACGAGGAAGAATCTGTTCAAGTGAACCAAGTGCATTATGTGTAGCAAGTTGATTAAGTTTTATGGCCTAGTGACTATTAGTATTTACTATAAGACCACTTCTGACTAGTGAGGGAGCGTCTTAGATATTAATACTTGTGTGTTTTGTATGGTACATGTGTGCGTATGGAGGGCATTAGTTGGCTTGCCAATACAGGAAGTGGAGTGTTTGTGATTAAAAATGCAGAGAGAAATTTAAGGTTGTAGAATGAATGGTATTATAATACAACTGGATGGATTATCTACCAGATTGTATCTTCTTCTCTTCTGAGAAATGAAAGCTAATATACCTTCTCTCTCTGTCTCTCTCTCTCTCCTCTAGCATGTTGGTGAAGCCCTAGTTCATGCACTAGGGGTGGCACTTGGTAAAGAATTTAATGACGAAGCAAAAAAAGCTTGGACTCTTTTGTACTCTGTTGTCACTGCTAAAATGAAAGAAGGACTGAAAGAAGCACAAGAAGATTAAAACTTCTCTCCCCCTCTCCCTCCCTTTACTCCACATTACCTTTCTATTTATTTCTCTCACTCATTCACATGCACTGTAGCTACCAGCCATACATTTTTAAAGTTTATTATTATTTTATTCTAACTACATGTATAATTATTATTATTATCGCTATCATTATTATTCTTTATGTCAATGAAGGCTGCACAGTTGGTCATCTACCCATTTTGATCAGAAAAGTGGCATTAAATGAGATGGAAAAAAAGACTTTCATTATTGTATTTTTATTAATATCATCATTATTATTTTTTATTATGATAACTATATTTAATGATAATAATTAATATCATTGTACATTGTAATTTAACCGAAATCCTCAATAAAGTCTCTTTGCTCTTTTTCGATTTGCTGCAGTGACTCATACTCCAGCCTCATTCTAAAAGAATAAATTAAGCACTAGTTAAGTTTATAAGGTGCATGTACATGTACATGTGTACACGGCACATGGTTCAACTTAATGTTCTTTCCTGTACATTACAATAAACACAAAGTTTAATACTTGCATGTACATACACATACACAGTACATATTAAAAAAAGGCTAAGTAGCTACCCAGCAGTTACTCTACTTTTGTGTAAGTAGTTCGTTGCTCCTACTCTGCTCATGCTTACTGCGACAGTAGCAGGACAGTAGAATGGAGCAAAAAACATCCTAAACGGCTTCTAGAAGGAGAGAGTGGCATTATAGATGAACTTGGAGAGCACAGACAGCCAAAAGAATCATCTACAAGTTCTACTACAGTACATATGATTGGGTGGGATTGCAGCATAGTGCAGCGAAGAGTAACGAAGAGTAGCAAAGTACCTACGAACTACCTTCAAGATTCTCTTCTCTACTGTACCCTACTTAGCCTTTTTTTGACTTGTACTGTACATACACATGTACTTTCTTTCTTTGTCCTCTCCTCTCTCTCCTTCAATTTGAAAATTGCAACTATAAGCTATAATTTGGCAATTGGCAAGCATCCATTGATGCTGTAGTACAAATTAAGTAAACTGTCCTAGGCTGTGAATAGGAAAAGGCTGTTGACAGCAAAGAGTACATGTATAAAGTATATTGATGGATTTATCAAGAATTTTATAAGTGCACATTTTAAACAAGTCGATAATGGGCATGTGAATCAGTATTAAGTTTATAGTGTATGAGGTTAAAGTCTTTATGACAATCATTGTGTGATCATGAATAAAGGTTATGTGTGTGTGTATGTGTGCCTCCCTGACCAATTTGTGTCAGCAACTGTTTGTCAGCTTTGATTAGCTTGTGTGCAAATGAATCTACATGCAAATCAAGCACACTGCATTCTATACAGATTAGGTAATGTATACAAAATGAGTGTCTACCTGACAGGGTCTATCTGATTAACTGATTTGTCTGTGTACTGTAACATGCACTAGACACAATGTCAATGTGTTATAAACTGAGATGTGATTATACAAGAAACGCAAGGTCACAAATGAATGGACCGCAAACTTCCTGTGTTCCCCAACCACAATAGACTGGCTGAAGACATATACAGGCTAAGACACTCAAATATCAGTGTAATCATTAACTTAAAATACTGGGTAGACACTTATATACATTATATATACAAGGCAGCAAGCTTAGAACATGTGAAATTTAAAGGATCAGCTTTCAAATGGGCTATAATCCATAGTACAGCTACTACTACACTACTCTCTCCTTCTTTCCATTAAGTCAATGGTGATGACCTAATCCTTTAGGAATGCATTCACAGGATGTACAAAATATGCTTCACTGACCAACCTATTGATACACACAAACACAATCAATATATGAATAATATAAAGTGCTCCATGTACGTGTGTACAATGTGTATATGCTAGTTGGGAGTTGTAGGGTTAATGCCTACGCCTTGTCACGAATGCAGGCTGCCTATAGCTGCATACTCTGCATAAGTGACACCTCAGGATTATGTGTGCTGCTCCTTATGTTTAAGAGCCATGTAATCCTCTCCTTTGTTCTTCTCTACTCCTCCTCTCTCTCCATTCATTCTTTCCTCCCTTCTTCTCCACTCTCTCTCTCTTTATAATTGTCCTCTATGAAAGCTGTTAAATGGCTAATGTGATGAGCTGTGAAGTGGATTTGTATGATCAGTGTACTTAGCGGATTATATATAGTGGGACCATCAATGTCTGGAGGAGTTGAAGTTGATACAGTACCTTACTACAGAGACAGGCTGTCTATACATCATTTTAATATCAAAATATTTCATAACCGATTAAAAGTGATTAATGATAATTAGATAGCAGAGAGAGACTGAGTAGAGTTGGTTCACATTTACTATAAGCCACTCGTTTAATTAATGAATCTCTTCTTAAATAGGAAATGCCAAAACTAGTCCTACTATGCCATACAACTTGCCTTTTTACTACTATAAGGATACTATAAGCAGTGGCCTCGTTAGTGGTCAATTTACCGACACATGCTGGCTTCGTCGTATTAAGATGCTAATCACAATCTTATAAAATCCACAATAAAAATGAACAGAAGCTACACATGCTGCATATACTACATGTATATGTAGAGTAGAATAACGTAGAGTAGTTTGTAGAGGACTAGCATTATCAGTTATTAGAGGAAACTGTAAAGTATGAAAGCATGATGACAAGGAGAAGCATAACAATAGCTTAGGGCTATGTGTGTTATGTAATGTTACAATGATGTTAGTCAATTAGTCTCTTAACAGATTTTAAAGCGTCGTAATAATTCTGTTCAAATGTCATGCCAGAGGTTGAATCACACAGGAAACTAAAAAATAATTATTAACTGAAACTAGTATTGCAATTCTAGGAATAGTTCAGGCAGTAACAGTAAATATACATTGTAGCTCTATTTTATAGCCATGGGTCATAGTAATCTATTATGATTCAGTTTAATGAAAACAAAATGAAATCAGCTCAAACTTATTACACACTAGCATAGTGACATCAATATAGATCAATAGGAGCTAATTTTGCTATGAAACCACAAAATAGCCTCAAATGGTAAATGTACATGGGAACAATTTGCTATACATGTACATGTACTCAAGTAAAACAATATTCAGCTAATGCAGAGTATGCAAAGTATGAAACACAAGGCCCTGCAAATAATGATGTCCCATCTGCCTCTTTTATGGCAGTACTGTCATTACACTGGACTATGTATCAATATGGAGGTAGGCTGCTTGATAAGTAGTATATTAATTCCAGCATTCTTTTTTAATTATACGAATGATTGAGCAATCAGTAACATCAATTTCAGAGCTATTTTTTGTACATACATGTACATCTCTTCTCCCACACTCTCCTTCTCTCTCCTAATTTCTTTTCTTCTTTCCCCATTGCATTAAAGCACATACAACCCTCCCTCCCACCCTCTCTCTCTCTCTCTCTCTCCCTCTCCTCTTCTCTCTCTCTCTCTCTCTCTCTCATTACCTTTCCAGTTGCGTCTTTTTCTCTGCAATGAGTGAATGTATTTGCCTCTTTTGTGCTTCTCTCTGTTTAGCAATTGACTGGAGATGAGTCCTAGCACCAATCGCCTAAAAGTAACATCAGGTAATCCCATAATTATACATGTCTTCACATGCTATTATTTTATGTAAAATTATATGCATTTTCAAGGCATATCAGGTTTTGGCCGAATGATATGTATCGCGTGGCATACTTTTGTCTTCTCTTCTTCAACTTGACGGGCAAGAAGGTCAACCATTTCAATGAAGCCTCCCACTAAAGACTGGAAACTAGATATCTCTGTGAAAATTAAGATACAAAAAAAAATTAATTATACCATCTTAATGTGACCTACTGTCCACAAAATCCTTGCACTCATCTCTTAGGTTCTCTGTATTGTTAGCTGCACTCGGGTCTAGTACTCTTATCTTCGAGAGCTCGTCAAAATAAAAGCCATCCACAGGTTGAGTTGGGGCGGCCATCTTGTTTTTATGTTACCAAGGCAATATGGGTGTGGTTTACAGACACGCAATACGGAAGAATACTGGGATTTACTAGTTCAAAATGGCGTCCAGTTTGGAGGATTACAGGAGAAGGGCTAGTTTTAGCGTCCCTCGGATGCAAGATGTTTTGATAGGGAGAGAGATACTAGACTTTAAGAGAAAGGTCTGAATAATGTCACGCAATAATTAATAATAGCAATTTTAGGTTTGTGACACTTTAAAAGCTGATCCACTTTTCAACCCGAAACCACTTCATTACTATTCACTGGATAAAGAGAGGGAGATGACATTTAAGAGAGTCAAGAGGCTATTGGAGTATAATTTCCTTCCAGAGGAAGCCATACTGGATAACCCAATGCTCATATCAGGACTCAACAGTGTATTAATATCATACGATCTTGGAACCCTAGCAGTTAATTCATTGCACAGAGACGTAAGGAGAGGGGGAGGGCATTAAATTAATTTATATTTCATTATTATTTTCTATATTAATGTTAGGTATTTGCTGGAGCTATTAGAGGCCTGGGTACAGCTAAGCACTATCACTACGTCGATGATGCTTATTCTATGAGAATATTCGGTTGCTTTGCTCTGACTGAGCTTTCTCACGGAAGCGACACAAGACGAATGAGAACAACAGCAACCTATGATCCTAAGACACAGGTACGTGTAATATTATATATATGTCACTCTCCTCTCCCCTTCCTCTCTTTATCTACAGTACATTTTTTTCTTACATACATGTGCATGTACAAATGTGTATAAGACACATGTGCATGTAATTATGTCACTCTTCTCTTCTCTCCCTCCTTCTTTATCTGTGTATCTGTGTACATATTCCTCTTATATGTACATGTACATATGTACATGTACATGTATGTACATATGTACATGTACATGTACATGTATGTACATGTACTAAACCCTTCTTCTTATTGCATTGTTTCTTATTGCATTATTCAACTCATTTTTACAATAATAAGTATTTAACTATATTTCGTTATCATTATATTCAATTCTCAGTTGGACAGTTGTACATGCTCTAGTCTATTCCCACGTGATATCCTAGTAACCTATTGACCTGAGGAGGAGGATGAATACATTAAACATGTGATTCTTGGCTCGTTGCTCTGACTACAGCATCATGCCATCACTGAGCTGTTTGTTCAGTAACTAATTGTGTACATTTTATTGCCTAAGAATCATTTACTATGGAAACACGTGTACCAGTAGTGTTAATTCTAAATACGTATGATGTTATAGTAACTAATTGATTTGTGCATATCATTATACTGGCTAATTAATATGTGCATATCATTATACTGGCTAATTAATATGCACATATCATTATAGTGGCTAATTAATATGCACATATCATTATACTGGCTAATTAATATGTGCATATCATTATACTGGCTAATTAATATGCGCATATCATTATACTGGCTAATTAATATGTGCATATCATTATACTGGCTAATTAATATGCGCATATCATTATACTGGCTAATTAATATGTGCATATCATTATACTGGCTAATTAATATGTGCATATCATTATACTGGCTAATTAATATGCGCATATCATTATCATTATATAGGAGTTCATACTGCATACTCCTGATATAGAGGCTGCTAAATGTTGGTCCGGTAACCTTGGCAAGCTAGCTACCCACGCTGTGGTCTATGCCCAGTTGTACACTCCTGATGGCGCCTGTCATGGACTCCACCCATTCATAGTCCCCGTGAGAGACCCAAGCACTCATGCCACCTATCCTGGACTGACCATTGGGGACATGGGGAGGAAGATCGGACAAAATGGAGTCTCTAACGGGTGGGCTTTAATTAGAATGCATGCAAAACTTACGAGCGACATTTAATTTATAAAGTTTTTTTGCAGATTTAATTTTGCAAATCTTAACAAAATCTGTGATTGTTAAGTGTACATGTACATACGGTTAGACTGCCAATGGATTTTACAAGTCATTAGGCTTCATTCAAAATCATCCAATAATGGGCTCTTATTAGAATGTATTTCATATGGGCTCTATTTAGAATAAGAGCATTCACTTATATTTTGTTTTTTCTTTGAATATTACTATATGGCTTTGTAGTAATTTGGACCCAGTTATCGAGTTATTATTATTCAATTAAGAAGTACTTAGTTGCCCGGCAACCAGATTTATGTAGTAACCACAGAAAACCTACAAATTCTTAATAATGAATAAATAAATGATAGTATTAAAATTTTAATAAAGGGAATCATCACGTACACACATGTCATTCATCATGTATTTCTAAGATAGAGTGTGGTACTTAATTAAGTACTATTATCACTTTTATTATTATTATTATTATTACTATTAGGATAATTGTTATTATTATTATCATCTTAATTAGGATAATCTACATGTACGTGTTAATCCATAGTACATTTACATTCGTGTAATTGTAGTTTGATATACATGTACATGTACATGCTGGTACATGTATGGTACGAAATCAATTTTCTACATTTGTTCAACATTCGCTAATTATTAATATATATATACATACATGTAGGTACATGTTATTTGATAATTATCATATTCCAAGAGATAATTTATTAAACAAATCGGCTGACGTCACTCCTCAAGGAAACTACGAAACTCCTTATAAGGTAATGCCCATCATACATGTACATGTTATGGATACAACCATGCACGTCCTTATATGGTATTACTTATATTTAATTAAAATATACACAGACACTTCTAATGGGTATACTCCTCTATAGTTATATTTTATAAATAAATCTTCCTTGAGTATGCCCCTGCTATTATAAAACTTAATTAATCTCACTTGAGTATGCCCCTGCTATTATAATACTTAATTGATGCTCCTATAATTGCTTTGTAGAGTGCCAGTAAAAGGCTTGGAGTGTCACTGGGTGCTTTATCAAGTGGGAGGGTTGGCATTGCTGGAATGGCTGGGTTTAACATGGGGAAGGCATTAACTATTGCCATCAGGTTAGAAGCACTTTAATTTTGGAACATTTATTACTATTATACCTCTCATAATGGATGCAGTTGCTATAAAAATGAATTTCACTGTGTTTAGTTTATCAATACCATTAACAGGAAAGAGATCATATTGCAATTAAATTTTATCATTTAATAATGATAATGTTTAATATTTTATTTTTTCTTTCTCTTTCTTTCTCCCGTATGTAGATATGCAGCTGTCAGAAAGCAGTTTGGTCCATCAGCTGATGTTGAAGTTCCATTGCTTGAGTATCAGTTACATGTAGGCTATGATGCTTATAATGTGATGTTGCATTCATAATATTCTGATACATATTGCTGTTTGTTTTTATGTTACATGTACATGTATGTAAAAAGATTGAGCTGATTCCAATTCAAAATTTCTGTTTTTTTTAAATATGCCAAAATTCTGAAAAATACCCTGTACTATAGCCCATGGTTTTTTCCGAAAAATGGCTCCAAAATCACCCCCAATTTTTATTACATTTTCTGATACATATTGATGTACTTATGCTATGCAGAAAGTTTGAGCTGATTCCGACTTGAATTTTTCAAGTTACAGCCATTTTTTAAAATGCCAAATTTCTGGGAAAGTACCCAAGGCTATAGCCCATGGTTTTTCCAAAAAATGGCTCTGAAATGACCCCTCATTTTTATTACATTTTCTGATACATATTGATGCTCTTATGCTACGTAGAAAGTTTGAGCTGATTCCGACTAAAAATTTTGAAGTTATGAGCTTTAAACCATGCAGTTTTCTCAGAATGAGTATCAATATGCATTTGTACATGTTATGATTAATTTTTAATCTTTTTCTTTTCTCTCTCTCTCTCCTCTTACTCTTAAATTTAGCAATATCGTTTGTTTCCATATTTAGCAGCTACCTATTGCTTTCAACATTTCAATAATTGGTTCTTTGAACAGTTTGTGATGTTCACTGGTGCCCTCATTATTGGCGATAAAAGTGACAGACAAGTAAAATATTAGTTTTATCACTCTTAGATCTAGAGGGAGTTTAGGAGACTTTTGGCCTCCAGTATTTTGTCTAGGTCTCCTAAAATTCAGCATTTGATCTCTCTCTCACATTTAACCTAGAAGCCTTTAAGCCTCCCATTTTTAGTTAAATTGGCTTCTCAAAATAATTGTAAATTTCTGTTATATTTCTAGATCTAATTCTGATTATTATTACTATCATTACTATTGTTATTGTTATTGTTATTGTTATACCATATAGCAGGAAATCTTGGAGAGAATTAAATTTGGCAAATTTGAGCCATTATGCGCATGCTCAATGGCACGTGGCCACAAATTCACCAAATTAAAGTTGGCCAATCACCCAAAATTTAGCAATTCACCAAATTTTATTCCCTCCAAAATTTCCTGCTATACAGCATTCCTTTATTTGTCCCTCCCTCCCTCCCTCTCTCACTCCTGTAGGCTGAGCTAGGCCGTGAAATACATGCCCTGTCTTGTGCTGTCAAGTCCCTGATGGGTTTCGTTGCGAGGGACTGCATTCAAGAGTGTAGGGAAGCGTGTGGCGGTCACGGGTACCTCACTCTCTCAGGATTAGGAGTCATTCATGACGACCATGAGCCTAACCTCACCTATGAAGGAGATAACAATGTCATACTGCAGCAGACGGCAAATTATTTATTAGGAATGATGAGGGAAGGGAGAGGTAAAGCTAAGAATGTACTGTAGGGCGACTTTTTTTTAAATTTCGGGGATTTTGCGATTCTTTAAAAATTTGCAAAAACTATTTCTGTGAAAATCAAACTAATACGGTACAAGATGGCTGATGGCATAAATTTGTGAAAATTGAATCTGCAAAATAAAAATCCGGGAAATTTATAACCCTTGAAAAAAGCGCCCTATGGTGTCATACATGTACAGGTTACCATAAAGCTAGAAAATTGTGGAGGAATTTTTTCGGAGTAAAATTTTAGTAAATTTGGCTAATTGACCTCTTCCAAATTTAATGAAATTGTCAAACAATGTACTGTATATGTACATATACATAAAATGTTAATGTTAATTTATTATGTTCAATAGATGCCTCCAGTCCTTTGGGCTCTGTTAATTTCATGACTGACCTTCCTAACGTATTAAGAAGACGTTATGTACCATCAAACACACTAACATTTACATTATCAGGTAACCAAAAGAACTACTCGACATTATAACATGTACATGTACATGTATGCAATTACATGTACATGTATTTTACTGAGTCCTCATACTAGTCAAGTATTTTTTGTATGTTCATGTAAATTTACAAGTACATGTATGTTAGGGTATGGTAGGACCTGAACCACTCAATATTTTACATTCTTCTAGTATTTGAATAAAATAATATTTGTATAAAATAATATTTGTATAATGGATTGTTCCGACAGTACTTGACTATGTGACCAAATACTTGACTGTGTGACCAAGTACATGTAGTCTAGTCACAATATCAGGGACAATGTGACCAAAACTCTACAATATGAAGACCACTTAAAACATAATTAAATTCATGGATTACATCAGTCACACTTTAAGCAATAGCCCATTAAGTTCAATTATAGAAATCATACATGTACTGTCACGCAGCATATGTTCACACAGTTACAACTACACCCCAATACATCATTAGATCAGCCCGTGTTCAAATACACGAATTCTTACACGTGTAGGAAGTTCATTCATTTCAATCTAAGAAGCTGAAATCATTACTATCAGGCACTAATGCATTAGTATAGTGTTTCCTCTAGCATCCTTTCTCTCCCCCTCTGTTTTTACTCGCCTTGTCTTCCGTTATGGCGCTCTCAAACACTCCTAATTTTATTAGCTTGTACTCCTTTGTCTTATCCGGTATGGCGCTCCAACGCTCCTAATACTTTGTATTGTACTAATTCTGTGTATACTTGATTCTTCAACTATGGCGATAATGGTGATCTCAGGCGCTCCTAATTCCATTAATTTGTACTCCTTTGTCCCATCCTGTTTGGCGCTCCTGATCCCCTTGTGTTGTACTGATTCTGTCATGCACTTAATTCTTCAACTATGGCGATAAATAGTGATCTCATGCAGGCACTCCTGATTTCATTTCATTAGTTTGTACTCCTTCGCTTCATCCGGTATGGCGCTCCGACGCTCCTAATCCCCTTGTGTTGTACTGATTCTGTATATTCTCATCTTCTTCCGCTATGTGGCTCTCCTACTTGTCGTAATACTTTTGTGATCTCATATCTTTGTATTAATTGATAGTGTAGACATTCATTTTTTAGCATCTTTTTAATTTTTTATTTATATATATATACATCTCTCTCTCTTGTCTTCGTTCCTTTTCTTGCTTTTTCCTCTACTTTTATTTCCTCCTTTTCCTTCTTTTCATTACTACAGACGTATTGCATTCCTACGAATGGCTGGTATGCTATTTGCTGGTCGAGAGCTCGCAAAAGGTCAGACAAGAAGAATTCAAGACAAAGGTATTCAATATGCGTATGTACAATTATAAATTTACATGTACATTTACATGTACATTTACATGTATATGTATACTGAAAGCCTGTTAAGGTGGATCAATCCATGTTAACATACATTATTTAGATGTATCCTATTTTATGGATGAGTTATTTTTCAATGATATAATGCAGTCTGTATGGATGATTGCATTTATATATGTACATTTAATTTTTCTCAGTTACAGTGTATTATAGACGTATTATGTATTTCTAGTCTGATTTTTGGGCAAAAGAAAACTCCCAAGTCTATTACTGTCACACTCTTTCCCTTGCATTTACTGAGGTGAGTAAAGTCACTATTTATTGATGGTTATTAATACTGTACCTTCTTTAGTACTTCATATTGAAGACTTTTAACGAGTTTGTTTGCGAAGCAGAGAGAGAAAGGGAAGGAGGAAATGAAGTATGCAATGTTTTGAAACTTTTGGGTCTTCTTTATGGTTTATGGAGCTTACAGAAGCACTCAGCATGGCTTTGCCAGGGTAAAATAGAGAGAGAAGGGGAGAGAGAGAGAGAGAAAGAGAGAGAGAGAGAGAGAGAGAGAGAGAGAGAGAGAGAGAGAGAGAGAGAGGAGTGAGAGGGAGGAGAAGGTGACAAACATTCTGTTTGGATTTGAACTAGACAGTTGTGAGTGTAAATGTATTGGAATGTGTGAAGGAGGAGAACTAGTCTAGGAAATTCTGTAAATATTTTAATGTACAAATGATAATTAATATGTACTCTTAATTAAAAATTGAAAGTAGTATGAGGGGAGAATACTATGTCTTTATCTCTTGTTGTTTTTTAGGTGAATATTTCACTCAACCAAGTCACATTCAATCAATGCGTAATAACATACTCTTGATTTGTGAAAAAGTAATAAAGAACACTCTTATAATCCTCCATTTTTGTTACATTTCCTGATACACATGTACATGTTCTTATGTTGTGTAGAAAGTTTTTCTCTTGCAAAGCAGCTATTTCTTGTTTCTATATCTCTTATTCTTTTATTTTATTTTTTCAATTCTACTTCTCTCTCTCTCTTTGTTATTTTGTAGATTAAAAATGATGCTGTCTCATTAATTGATGCTATAGCTCCTCCTGACTGGATGCTAGGGCCATTAGGACAATCTGATGGAGATGTATGTTAATGTAATAGTACACTTCTTCTTTATGAATGTTTGTGTCTATTCTGATGCATGTAGTTATAGCCATCTAAAAGTCTGAAAAATACCCTGTACTATAGCCCATGGTTTTTTCCAAAAAATGGCTCCGAAATCACCCCCAATTTTTATTACATTTTCTGATACATATTGATGTACTTATGCTGTGTAGCAAGTTTGAGCAGATTCCGACTTCAGTTTTTCAAGTTATGGCCATTTTAAGAAAACGCCAAAATTCTGAAAAGTACCCTGTACTATAGCCCATGGTTTTTTCCAAAAAATGGCTCCGAAATCACCCCCAATTTTTATTACATTTTCTGATACATATTGATGTCCTTATGCTGTGTAGCAAGTTTGAGCGGATTCCGACTTCAATTTTTCAAGTTATGGCCATTTTAAGAAAACACCAAAATTCTGAAAAGTACCCTGTACTATAGCCCATGGTTTTTTCCAAAAAATGGCTCCGAAATCACCCCAAATTTTTATTACAGTTTCTGATACATATTGATGTCCTTATGCTACATAGAAAGTCTGAGCCGATTCCAACTTCAATTTTTCAAGTTATGACCATTTTAAAGAATAGCAAATTTTCAGACAAATCAAGGCCCATACATTTTCTAATGCATTGATGTCCTTAGAACTTAGAAGCAATTATTATTAATTGTACATGTAATTATTATTATTATTTTTAGGTGTATAGACATCTTTATAATGCAATGTCCAGTGAACCAGGAGCCAATGAGAAACCAAACTGGTGGAAAGAAATAGCCACACCTCCTCAAGTCGGAGGTAAACATGAACTAATTTCAAAGTTATGATGATCATGATTAACCTATGATTTAATTACACATGTTTTATCATTATTGTTTTGCGTGCGTGTAGATACATCTAGTGTGCTAAAATTTAGTCACGAGTTTTTATTTATAAAATAATTATAGTTTTAAAAATTGATGATAACAAGATTGATGATAATAATGATAATATAATTATATTGATGGTTAATTTCAGATGATTTTAAATAATAGAATTAAAAATAATGAACACAGACATTAATAAATAATAATAATAATTATATACAATACATGAGATGATTTGATATGATATTATAATTATTAATTTGGTATTATTCCTTGAATGCACTCAGTTTATTTGTGATATCACTCAGGCCAGCCTAAAAAAATTTAAAGTTCTCTTTAATTTTTTCCTCCCCTCTCTCCTTACCTTGCTTCTACTTCTCTCTCCTCTCTTCTCTTTTCCCCCCTCTCTCTCTCCTTACCTGGTGGTCATTTCTTCTAATCCTTTTTCCTCTTTTATTACTATGAACTGCTGGAGTATCCCTTTTAAGAGTCCTTTTAGGAGCCCTGTCTTGTCTCATTTTACTCGACAAGCTTGGTTCTTGGTAAGACTGGACCAGAGATGCACAAGCTCTTCTGGGCCTACTACTTATTTCACCTAATAAAAAAAGAATTTTAAAGGCACATGTACAAGAATACTTAGCTACAACAGTAGTAGTCAAAGTATACTGTACTTATATTTTCTTGAGTATTGTCAATGTCAGTACTCAATGTGTGAATTCCTGTAGACTGCAAGCAACCCTTGCTGTTGCTAACACTAATGGTTTCAAATTCTAACAGGTCTGTCTCCATATCCTGTACACCATGTGTCTCCTGTACTGGGGTCGATGAGGAGGGTTGTGTGTGAACTGGGGTCGATGAGGAGGGTTGTATGTGAACAGAGGAGGGTTGTATGTGAACGGGGGTAACTGAGAGAGAGGAGGAAGAGGAGGAGCAAGGTGTTTCAGTTAAGAGTGTTCGAGCATATGTTAGACTCTGTTCCATGTTATGTATAACTTTAGCTAATGACTGGATGAGAGGAGAAAGAGGAATTGGTAAAGAAATATCACAAGTATCCACTTTTGGTATAATATTTTTGGATAAGTCATACTTCTTGTGTCTTGTGTGCTGGTAGTAGCTGGCCCAGTCTTGTCTCCAGGCTACTGACTTGCTCCATTAGTTGCTGGCGCTCTTTCTTTAATTCTATGTTCTGTACAAATAGTTTACGATTTTCTTGACGTGATCCATCTAAAAAAGAAGACAGTTCTAAATTCAATGCAAGGTAGTTATTAATTTAATAATGAGCTCCACCCTTTGTGGGTGTGCTATCTGCATCTGCAAAAAATTAATTACAAAATGGCGTCCTTTGGTGAGGAAGAGGCGAAATTTTTCAGAGAGAATGGCTACGCTGTAATAAAAGATTTCTTAAGCGAGGATGAATGTCAGATGCTAAGAGAAAAAATGGCCTCGGTTATATCAGAAGAAGACTTCTCCCAGCATCCTGTGATAACCTTCAGCACTGAAGAACAGAAGCAAAGGCAAATCCAGGAAGAATATTTTCTAACCTCGGGGGATAAAGTACGCTACTTTTTTGAAGAAGGTGCAGTCGATAAAGAGAGCGGGAAAGTGTCTGTACCGATACCTCAGGCTATTAATAAAATAGGTCATGCTTTGCATGTTCACGTGGATGAGTTTAGGAACGTTACGATGAGCGAGAGAGTTAGGAGTGTCGCTAAAGGCCTTGGGCTAAAGAACCCTGTGATACCACAAGGAATGTACATATTCAAGCAGCCTCGTATTGGAGGTGTAGTCACACCTCATCAGGACTCAACCTTTCTCTACACGACTCCAAACTCTCTCGTTGGGTTTTGGATCCCTCTTGAAGATGCCGAGATTGAAAACAGCTGTCTTTGGTTCGTGCCAAAGAGCCACGACCAAGAGCCGACCAGACGACTCAAGAGGGTGACCAAAAATGGAGCCTTCACTACTCAAATCGAGGGAAAAGATAGAGAGGAGCCTGAAGAGAACTACAAGGCTTGTCCAGTTCCCAAAGGATCCCTGGTGCTAATACATGGGAATGTTTTGCATAAAAGCGAGCCGAATGTTTCAAATCGCTCGCGTCATGTCTACACCTTTCATCTTTATGATGCAGGGACATCAGAATGGAACAAAGACAATTGGTTGCAACCATCTCCTTCTGTCCCTTTTCCTGCTCTCTATTAATCTAGGGACCGTGTACCACATTCATTATATTTGGACCTCATTTAAGTTATTTTTGCACGAGTATAATAATTATTTCTGTTATTATTACCAAGTGCTTGAACGAGTTCTTTGTTTTTTGTCCTTAAAGCAACTAACTGATTTCGTCCTGTAAAAAAAATATATATATAATTATAAGAATAAAATCATTGCTATTATACTTGTAGCCATTCTCCTCCTTATCAACTTTCTTTATTTCAGCTACTCCCCCAGTTGCTCCTGGCAACTATTAATGAAGTTAATTGCTAGTTATTAATCCCGTATATCTCCATCTCCGCATATTGTCTCCGGTTATTTTTTAATGGGCGGGTAATTTGAAGGAAGAAGCATCGTGAAGACACGAGGAGAGAGAAAAGAAAACCTCACAGCAATAATGGCTTCTCATTTCATCCTCAACTCTCCCCCGGCAGATTTCCTTGACTTTTTCTCCAGTGATATGCAATTGACCCAGCCTAATATGTAATAGCATTTTATTATTGTTATTATTATTATTATCGTAATTCATTTACACGCTTAAGGTCACATTTAGATGAAGACTCCTTCTCATCTGTCCTGCCATCAAGTGGACGGAACAAAGACATTTTAGGTCAGTCCCTTCCTCCTGGAGGGGAAGGATTCTTCGATCATTTGTCATCTTTTGGAGGAGGAGGCAGTGACGCAATAAATGGTAATTAATAAATATTTAATTTATTTATTTTTTGAGGTGCTCAAATCGGCTATTTAAAAGGGTTTTTTTTTATTTTATATTTTTAGTACTTTTTGTTATGCATCCATTGTCCATCATCATTATTATTATTTATTATTATTATTATTATTATTATTATTTATTTATTTATTATTATTATTATTATTATTTCATTAGATATAGGGAATATTGGATTATTTAGTTCGCCATCAGTAGTACCAGCTACTCCAGTCCATACCAATAGACAGCAGTTTACAATACTCCCACAGACTGAAGACCAGAGACTACCATTTACTTGTAAGAGATCAATGATTTAATAGTGATTTACATATGTACATGTACATGTACATGTATAATATATAATAGTGAATTAGAAATCATGTATATGTACATGTACATATATATAGTAATTAGTGTGTACACTGTACATGTGTGTGTGTGTGTACAATTTATATTTCATTCTTTATCATTGTCATTCCCGCTCTCCTTCAGATAATGATTCTGCTACTGATACTTCACATACCATTGGTCTTAGACCTGTTTCTGAAATACGTAAGCCTATAACAATAGAGGAACTAATTTTATCTCTTTCTCTTCCCCCTCTCTTTTAATTTTTAATTAAAAAATAAAAATCCTTCGCTCTTTTAATTTTTAATTTTTTCTTTTTTCTCCCCAGCTCAACGATATCAAAGCGTCTTTCAGTCATTCTCTCATTTTAATTTCATCCAGTCCAAAGTGTTTGATGATGTTATGTACACGGACACTCATTTGGTCACGTCGGCTCCCACTGGCAGCGGAAAGACCGTCATATTCGAGCTAGCCATAGTCCGTATACTAATGACAATGGCTCACTCGTTTAACTCGCTCAAAATTGTTTATGGTAAGCAGCGACATGTGCATATTATAGTCTTCAATCAGAATACATGTACATGTAATAATAGGTGTACTATAGTACAGGGACTTTGGCTAGATTTTGCTAAAAACATCACAGAGAGAATTCTTCATTTTTATTACATATTCTGATGCATATACATGTTCTTATGTTGTGTAGAAAGTTTGAGTTGGTTCCGATCAAGATTGGAATTATTACAAATTTTTAAAGTTGCTCCAAAATTGAGCCAAAGTTCCTTGTGTTTCATGAATGATATTTTTTAATTTGAGTGAATTTTCTTTATTTTCAGTTGCTCCCATTAAAGCACTCTGCAGTGAGAGGTACGAAGACTGGAGCTCAAAGTTTGGACGTTTTGGACTAAAATGTGCTGAATTGACCGGAGACAGCCAGTTAGACGATTATTTTGAACTTCAGAATGCTCAAATCATAATGACAACCCCAGTTAGAGATTGAGAGAGAGAGAGGAGTAGAGAAAGAGAAGTACATGTATGTGCAAGAGAGAAAGAAGATACGTTTACATGTAGGAAAATACATGTGTATTTTTTGTAGGAAAAGTGGGATAGCATGACTAGAAAGTGGAGAGATAACAAATCACTTGTTCAACTAGTGCAACTCTTCCTATTAGATGAGGTCAGCATAATACTGATATTGATATTAATACTGATATTGATATTGATACTGATATTGATACTGATACTGATATTGATATTGATATTGATACTGATATTGATATTAATATTGATACTGATATTGATACTGGTACTAATAATATTAATCCTTTCCTGTATTATGTACGTTGCTCAGATTCATCAGCTCAACGATGAGTCCAGAGGTCCAACAGTCGAAGCCATTGTTAGTAGAATGAAAACCGTCCGCTCCTCAGTAGCAGGAGAGACTGGAGGCAGGAGACTCCTGAGGTTTATAGCAATATCTGCTACTTTACCAAACATTGACGATGTGCGTAAATAAAAACATAAAAAATATATTTATTATTATTATTTTTATTGTATCTATTTATAGATTGCTAGTTGGCTTGGTACTGAAGAACAGCCTGCAATAATGCATAGGTACATGTACATGTACTGTATAATGTTTATACTATATGTATTATAATATTATTTCTATTTTTTCTGTCCATACATCTCCTGCATTCATTCTCCTACTCTTAGTATTGATGATAGTCACAGACCTGTGCAGTTGCGTAGGGTCGTCTTAGGGTTTCCTGATGCTAGCACAGAGTTTAAGTTTGACCTCTCGCTAAACTATAAGATCAGTGGAATCATACAGTGCTACTCTGATCAGAAACCGACACTAGTGGTAAGAATGGAGAGAAGAATGGGGAAATTTTAATCATTAACTTTGTTCCTTTTTTGTTTTTTATTACACCATTCCTCCTTCAATTGTCCTCTTTCTCTTGAATTTTCTCTTTTATTTTCTTTCATTTAAGTTTTGTGCTACACGCAAAGGGACCCAGCAGGCTGCTGGCATTTTAGTTAAAGATGCTAGGTTTGTGATGAATGTTGAACACAGAAGAAGGTAATAATGTACATGTACTTAAAATTGAAAAAATTATACTGCACAAAATGTATAATAATTAAATTATTATACACTTTTGGACACACAGGCTTCAGTCTGCTGCTAGTTCTGTTAATGACAGCAAACTAAAAGGTATTGGAAGTAGTAATTTATTTATTTCATTTTGATTGTGTTAATGCTAGAGCTGATAGTGTATGGTGTTGGGTATCATCATGCAGGGATGAGCAGTAATGATAGAAAACTCATTGAGACAATGTTCACTAATGGAGAGCTACCAGTCCTTTGTGAGTTCATTTGATGTCTAGTGTATGTATTCTGTACCATGTACATGTAGAAAGTTTAAGCCATTTCCGGCTTTTTAAGAAATAGCCATTTGTAGCAAATTTTCTGAAAAAGCAAAGGTCCATGTTTTTTGAAATGGCTTCGAAATCCCCCTCCCCCAATTTTTATTACTTTTTTGATACACAACACACTATTTTTCCAAACTCAACTACATGTATGTGTCTCTTCTACAATCTAATAACAATTAAATCACAAAATAAAATCTAATAATGATTAAAATTAATCACAAAACATATTCTAATAAAATAAGTCCTATACACACTTTTCAGCAAGGTTCTGTCTTTGCATGTTCAAATTTCATTTGGCATACAACTCATAGAAGCTGACAGGAGCATCCTCACCAGCTGTTCCCTCATCTCCACACACCCTCAGCTCAAGGTAGTCAGTAGTGGTAGTACCAAGTACCTTATTGAACCATGGAAGACCAGTAGCATTACAGCAATTACCTTCAAGACTACCACATCCTTTACCATCCCACAATGGATCAGATGCATAGAGAATCTCTTGCCAGCCATCAGTAGCAGGATTACCAGATTCACAGAAGTAGTCATTACCAATGAAAGGCAGAACTGGGTCTTGAGAACCATCTTGAGAACAAGGGCAGTTGTAAAAACCTCCGGCATGAGTAGTAGCTTCATGCAGTCCAGCCATTAGTGTCCAGACATGTTGACGAGGAGACCCACGAGTGATACTAACACCATCAACATAATGAGAATTGATGTTGTTTTCATGAGGATTAGCATCAGTTGATCCATACTGATATCCCACTACTCTACCACACACTTGAGAGTAACTGATACCATTAGATGGAAACTGAACTGATGTACAACTGCCTCCACTTGATGTTGTTCTACCACAAGCTCTAACTCCTCCTGACTGGTACAGTCTAAACTCAGAAGGACAGTTCTCTGTAGAATCAGTCATATCCAGATATGCTAGTCTTGTCCATCCTCCTCCTGAACCACACAGCTCCTCCATATTACAGTAAGTAGTATAAGTAGCAGTAGTATTTGCCAGTAGATACAAACCTGATGGACTGAGTGGTTGTCTCTCCTTAATCTCTTTACAAGAGGTAGGTAAAGCAGTCGAGTCATTGTGTAGTACTAATAGTTCTTGTGCTATTAGTAGTATATCATCAGCCACTCCAGCAGTAGAGATACTGGTGTCTTCTAGATTAGAGAGAGTGTTGACAATGTCTATTAACTTTTGTGCAGAATCTGTTGTAGTTTGTAAGATTTGTTCATTTAATTCAGTGAAGTTTGGAGAGCTCTGAAGTAACTCGAAAGTATTTTGTGCGACACCATTAGCCCATTGATTGAAATTAGGAAGGGTCTGATTAACTTTAGATACAACACCATTAGCCCATTGATCAAAATCAGGAAGGGTCTGGTTAACCTCAGAGACAACACCATTAGCCCATTGATCAAAATCAGGAAAGCTCTGTGTTACATTGCTGTTAACTTTAGACACAACACCATTAGCCCATTGATCAAAATCAGGAAGGCTCTCTGTTACATTGCTGTTAACTTTAGACACAACACCATTAGCCCATTGATCAAAATCAGGAAAGCTCTGTGTTACATTGCTGTTAACTTTAGATACAACACCATTAGCCCATTGATCAAAATCAGGAAGGCTCTCTGTTACATTGCTGTTAACTTTAGACACAACACCATTAGCCCATTGATCAAAATTAGGAAGGCTCTCTGTTACATTGCTGTTAACTTTAGACACAACACCATTAGCCCATTGATTAAAATCAGGAAGGCTCTGTGTTACATTGCTGTTAACTTTAGATATAACACCATTAGCCCATTGATCAAAATCAGGAAGGCTCTTTGTTACATTGCTGTTAACTTTAGATACAACACCATTTGCCCATTGATTGAAATCAGGAAAGCTCTGTGTTACATTGCTGTTAACTTTAGATACAACACCATTAGCCCATTGATCAAAATCAGGAAGGGTCTGGTTAACTTTAGATACAACACCATTAGCCCATTGATCGAAATCAGGAAGGGTCCGGTTAACTTTAGATACAACACCATTAGCCCATTGATCGAAATCAGGAAGAGTCTGGTTAACTTTAGATATAACACCATTAGCCCATTGATTGAAATCAGGAAGGCTCTGTGTTACATTGCTGTTAACTTTAGATACAACACCGTTTGCCCATTGATTGAAATCAGGAAGGCTCTGTGTTACATTGCTGTTAACTTTAGATACAACACCATTAGCCCATTGATCAAAATCAGGAAGGGTCTGGTTAACTTTAGATACAACATCATTAGCCCATTCAGTGAAGTTAGGAGGAACAAAACTTCCAGCTCCAGCAATAGCTCCAGTAGTAGCTGTACTGCTGGTACTGGTAGCATCTTTAGCAGACAATAGCACCAGTAATAAGCAAAGTATTACCACCAGTAGGAATACTATCAGACACAGCAATACAGCAATAACAACCAATGGTGTACTCCATGTTGACTGCTTTGATACTTTATTCTTTATTGCCACTTCTGTTGATTGAGCACCAGCACTATGATCCCTCCTTGCATTAATATTGAAATCAACCATTTCATAAGGATTCTCCTGACTCTGCATAGGAGCTGATGACATGTCCTCGTATTTTTCCTTTTCTTCCATTGTTGATGCAGCTTAATTTAAACAGTTCCAACAAAGAAGCTAGTCTTACATTCATATAGTAATATCAGACTGTCAGTATACATAATATCTTGTGAGTATAGTAGATATGATCTACTACCAAGATTGTAATCCTCTTGCTAAGTATAGGTATAAACTGCAGTATGTACTTGTTAGTAGTAATTATGAATGATAATAGTATATACAGTAGCAGACATTGTTATTGATTGCATGATTACAATATATTCCCCTTTAAATACTGTGAAGTGAGTAGATTTTGTCTGGTCATACTTTTATTACAAAGCCTTGATTGGTGTGGAAAGTTTGAGCTAATGCTGACTCAATTTTTTGAGTAATGAGCATTTTTAAAATGATCCAAATTAAAAAACCAAAGGCTCTTTGTAGCCCATGGTTTTCTTCAAAAAATGGCTCGAAAATGACCCCAAACTTTTATTACATAAATAGACTTTTTTCAAATTCAACTATTTGTATGTATTTTGTCTCTTCTACAATCTAATAATGATTAAATCACAAAATACAATCTAATAATGACTAAATCACAGAAAATATTCTAATAAAATAAGTCCTATACACACACTTTTTTGTTCAGCAAGGTTCTGACTTTATGTGTTCAATTTTCATTTGATGTACAACTCATAAAAGCTGACAGGAACATCGTCATCACTTTGATCTCCGCAGACCCTCAGCTCAAGGTAGTCAGTAGTGGTAGTACCAAGTACCTTATTGAACCATGGAAGACCAGGAGCTGCACAACAAATACTTTCAAGGCTACCACATCCTTTACCATCCCACAATGGATCAGATGTATAAACGCTGTGTTGCCATGAATTATCAGTAGCAGGATTACCAGATTCACAGAAGTAGTCATTACCAATTAAAGACTGAAGAGTTGAGTTTTGAGGACTACCTGGAGAACAAGGACAGTTGAAACGACCATTGAAATGTAAAGTTGAAGTTTGACTCAGTCCAGCCATTAGAGTCCAGACATGTTGACGAGGAGACCCACGAGTGATACTAACACCATCAACGTAATAAGAATTGATATCGTAGTGACTTGGATCAATGACACTACCATATGGTCCACCAGCATAGTTTCCTGGATAAACAGCATCAGTTGAAGCATATTGATAACCCACTACTCTACCACACACTTGAGAGTAACTGATACCATTAGATGGAAACTGAACTGATACACAACTAGGTCCACTTGATGTTGTTCTACCACAAGCTCTAACTCCTCCTGACTGGTACAGTCTAAACCCAGAAGGACAGTTCACTGTAGAGTCAGTCATATCCAGATATGATAGTCTTGTCCATCCTCCTCCTGAACCACACAGCTCTTCCATATTACAGTAAGCAGTATAAGTAGCAGCAGTATTTGTCAGTAGATACACACCTGATGGACTGAGTGGTTGTCTCTCCTTAATCTCTTTACAAGAGGTAGGTAAAGCAGTTGAGTCATTGTGAAGTGCTAATAGTTCTTGTGCTATTAGTAGTATATCATCAACCACTCCAGCAGTAGAGGTACTGGTGTCTTTTAGATTAGAGAGAGTATTGACAATGTTTATTAGCTTTTGTGCAGAATCTGTTGTAGTTTGCAAGATTTGTTCATTAAATTTAGTGAAGTTAGGAGAGCTCTGAAGTAATTCAACAGTATTTTGTGCCACATCATTGGCCCATTCATTGAAGTCAGGAAGATCAGAACACTTAGCACAGCTACTAGCAATAGCTCCAGTAGTAGCTGTACTGCTGGTACTGGTAGCATCTTGAGCAGACAATAGCACCAGTAATAAGCAAAGTATTACCACCAGTAGGAATACTATGAGACACAGCAATACAGCAATAACAACCAATGGTGTACTCCATGCTGACTGCTTCAATACTTCTTCTGTCGATGTAACACTGGTCCTCCTTGCATTAGTATCAACAGGAACCATTTCGTACTGGTTCTCTTGACTTTGTGCAGGATCTGATGACATTACGTCATACTTTTGCTTTACTTCCATCCTCAAAACGTAAATAATAAAGATGGACCACACCCAAGCACTCCACTAATTATTTATTCATGATGTTTGTATTACATCATGAATACCACGAGTGATACTAACACCATCAACATAATAAGAATTGATATCATAGTGACTTGGATCAATGAAACTGCCATTTGGTTCACCAGCATAGTTTCCTGGACAAACAGCATCAGTTCATCCATACTGATATCCCACTACTCTACCACATACTTGAGAGTACCGTACAGCAGGAAATATTTGCGGGGAATTAAATTTTGTGAGTTTGCAA